TCTTTCAATGTAGCAGACTCCCAGGCAGTATCCATTTACCAAGGAAGATTGAATCATGGTAAGTGACATTCATCTACATGGTCCTCAAATTTGTGTTTGTCTTATATCTCCTTTTTTTTTTCTTTCTAGAGCTGAGTCTATAACTCAGGTCCTTGCACTTGGTAAACAAGTGCTTTTACACTGAACTAACTCCCCAATACCTCTATCTCCTTCTGGTTATTTATCTATATGTATTCCTAGAGAGCACATTTTTTTCTATTAGCACACTTCATTAACTGTATAGCTTTGTTGTGATAATTCCATACTTGCTTTTGTGTTTTAATTGTATTTCTTTATTCACCCACTTTCCTTTATTCTTCTTGCAATTTTAATAGGTTTTATTATTCCATTTCATCCATAAAAAGCAACATTTTAAATTCTGGTATTTTTGCTTTATTTTTATTTTTAAAGAAACATAGTTTCTGAGAAAGTAGCAAAATAGAAAACACAGGCATCCTGAGTCACATCATCTATCCCATTTTGCGTAATTATATTACACTGTCAAAACCAATGAGTTAGTGGCGCTGTAGCTCAAGTGGTAGAGCGCTCGCCTTGAGCTGAAGAGCTGAGGGACAGCGCCCAAGCCCAGAGTTCAAGCCCCATGACTGAAAACAACAACAACAACAAAAAAAAACAATGAGTTAAGACTGGCACAATCCACAGACCTGAATTATGCTCCCAAGGGTCTCCTTGGAGTGTGTGTGTGTGTGTGTGTGTGTGTGAAGTATGTATTTATTACACATGGCTTCACGATTTGACCATCACAGTAAAGGAACAGTGTTGCATCACCATAAACATCCCATTCTCCTTGGTAACCTTACCCACCTCCCACAACAGCTTTGTCTTCTGACCCTTGAACATGACACATCTTATTTAAGTCTTCATTATCACAGGAAATTTCGTAGTTTCATTGTACAGGTCTTTCTCATTTTTGTCAGATCAACTCCTAAATGCTTTATGGCTTTTTATTTTATTGAAAATCATTTCCATTTCTTGTCTGACTGCAGCTTAGAACTTCCAGTATGAGGCAGTAAGAGCACATATTCTTAATATATTGAATAATTTTTTTGCACTACGTAGCTTAGGTCAGACTTACAGGCCTTCCTCAGGCCTAGCCCCTGATTCTGTATTCTATTTGTGTGAGTGTGTGTGTGTGTGAGAGAGAGAGAGACAGAGAAAGACAGAGACAGAGACAGAGACAGATTTGGGGAGGGAGAGGGAGCCTGCGTGCACATGCTAGAACTCAGGGTCTTGAATTCTTGCTTGTTTGCTCATAGCTGGTACTCTACCACTTGAGCCATGTCTCCTATCTGGTATTTTATCAGTTAATTGGAGATGGCATCTCACAGACTTTTTTTCATGGTCTGGCTTCAAATCTCCATCTTTTAGCTAGGATTATTGGCTTCAGCCAATGGTGCCCATCTCTCTGGCTGGTTTTTGACATCAGGGAAAAATATTCTGTCTTTCACAATTAGTTATATTGTCTGTGGATACCCTTTTATCAGACTGGGGATGTTCTTGAGAGTCCTAATTAGACTTCTCAGAAATGGATGCTGGCCAGGCGCTGGTGGCTCATGCCTGTAATCTTAGAGACTCGGGAGGCTGAGATCTGAGGATCACGGTTCAAGCCAGCCTGGGCAGGAAAGTCCATGAGATTCTTATCTCCAATAAATCACTACAAAACTGGAAGTGGCGCTGTGGCTCAAGCAGTACAACACTCACCTTGAGCTGAAGAGCTGAGGGATAGTGCCCCACAACCAAAAAAGAAAAAAGTAAAAAAAAAATGGATGTTGAATTTTTTCAGGTACCTTTTGTGACATTACATTGATGAATCTTTGAGTGTTAAGCCTACATTTCTTAGATAAACCCCATTAGACCATATTGCAGGAATATTATTTCTAGTTTTGTTTTCTTATACCATTTCTGGGTACCAGGGTAGTTTTGCTACAAGGGTTATTCTGGCCTTATGCTCCTTCCTCGGGGCTGGGAAGGTAGCTCAGTGGCAGAGTGCTTGCCTTGCATGCCTGAGGCCCTGGGTTCGATTCCTCAGCACCACATAAAGAAAAAAGCCGGAAGTGGCGCTGTGGCTCAAGTGGTAGAGCGCTAGCCTTGAACTGAAGAGCTGAGGGACAGTGCCCAGGCCCAGAATTCAGGACCCACAACCGATCCCCCCCCACCCCCAAAAAAAAATTGCTTATGCTCCTTCCTCTCTGATTGGGCTGAATTTCCTATATACGTGTGTGTGTGTGTGTGTGTGTGTGTGTGTGTGTGTGTTATGCTCCTTCCTCTCTGATTGGGCTGAATTTCCTGTGTGTGTGTGTGTGTGTGTGTGTGTGTGGTGCTGGGGATGGAACCCAGGGCCTCACACATGCTTGACACGCATTCTATCACTGGTCTAGCCCTCTAATTCTATAGATATTTTTAACTACAATTTAAATTTTGTTGATACAAGGTTATAGGACTACCCATTTCTTCCTGAGTGAGCTTTAGTAACATGCACATTTCAAGAATTAGTCAAATTCTTCCATGGTATTGACTTTATGAGGATAAAAGTGTTTCTAAGTCATTTAAATCCTTTTATATCTACAGGATCCTTACCTGTCAACTTCCTCATCCCTTATGCCTTACTTAGTTTGTGGGTTTTTTCCCCCTTGATAAATCTGGCTGGACATTTTACTTATCCATCCATCCATCCATTCATCCATCCATCCATGTATTCAACTTTTCTCAAACCAAGCTCATGCATCTAATGGTCTTTTTAAAAATTTTTCTTGAATCTCACCTTGACTCTCATTATTCCTTTGCTTTCATTTATTTCTAATTTAATTTTCTTTCCAGTTTCTCAGAGGAATGAAATAGCTAATTTTGAGATGTTCTAAGACAGTCATTTAATGCTATAAAGTTCCCTCTAAGAATTACTGTAGCAACTGGGTGCAGGTAGCTCATGTTTGTAATTCTAGGTACTCAGCAGGATGAGATCTGAGGATCACAGTTCAGAGCCAGCCCCAGAAATAAAGTCTGTGAGATTATCTCCAATTAACCAACAAAAGGCAGGAAGCAGAACTGTGGCCCAAGGGACAGTGCCCAGGTCCGGAGTTCAACCCTTAGGACCAGCATGCATGCACGCACGCACGCACCCATGCAAACACGCACACACACACACACACACACACACACACACACACACACAAAACCCCCTCTCCCAACTGCTTTAGTGGTTACTATTATTGTGTGTATTATTATTACAGTGGTATATTATTTTAAACCTTTTACTCAGGTTACCTTCCTGTTTCTTTTTAGAGCTTTTCTTTGATCTCTGAGTTACACAGTTACCAAATATTTCAGAGATTTTTAAGAATGTTACTGATTTTTAACTAATTAATTTTTTTTTTTGCCAGTCCTGGAGCTTGGACTCTGGGCCTGGGCACTGTCCCTGAGCTTGTTTTGCTCGAGGCTAGCACTGTAGCACTTCTGGCTTTTTCTGTATATGTAGTACTGAGGTTTCAAACCCAGGTCTTCATACATGTGAGGCAAGCACTCTACCACTGAGCCACCTTCCCAGCCCTTGATTTTTAATCCTATTAGTAACAGAGATTACATAAATCTATCTTTTTAAATCTGAAATTATTGAATAGGCATGTTCTGCCTCCACACAAATTCCATATACACTTGAGAAAGATGGGTGTCTGCTGTTGCAGGGTAGAATATTCTATAATTATCAGTTTCTGTTGGTTGATAGTGTTGGTCATATCTGCTATATTGTTGGTGATTTTCTGCCTATTTACCCATACAGAGAGACATTAAATTTGACAATGTGCAATTGTGCATTTCTCCTCAAAGTTGTTTTTGCTTCGTGTGTTTTGAAGTTTGTTTTTTCACTAGTTGACTATAAAGACAAGCATCTTCAATGTCTTCTGTCCACTGTTTCTGACATCTCTTGCCTAATTTACATGCTTTGTAGTAATTTTTAAAACTATGAACCTAGATTGTGGAACCTTTTGAGTTCCCTCAAAACAAGAGGAACTTGTACACATGCACACTTACATTTCTGCCCAACTTCAGAACAATATTTTCCTTTAGCACAGGCAGTCTTCCCTGCTGCTCCAGAAGCCGAGGGGATAAGGATGCAAGGGAACAGATAGCTCCATTCACAGTTTGCCCTGGTGCTAAGTCTATGCTTTGGGGGAGTCTCAACTTTATGTCTCCCTCTTAGTTCTTCTACCTTGTCAGGACCTAAGTTTTCTTGGCTTCTCTGCTGCTCCTCCCTCACCTGAGGCTGTCAAAAGAAAATTCACATTCTTCTAGTTACTCTGGATTTTGGCTTCCATTGAATTTTTTGCTTTTCCTTTTTAAAACTCAAATTTCAATTTCTGAATACATTTATAGTATATTTTTCCCTGTATATTGTGAAAGCTGTTTTTTTATTGGGTCCACATCAGACATTGATAGAAATAAAATGGAACTTGTTGGTTAACAATTCCAAGTTCCCACAGGTCCTTCCCTGATCCAGAAGCAATAAACACAGTGAGCACAGCTGATGAGGACTCAGGCTGGCCTGACATCCAGGCTCATCTACTAGCAGGGAGAACTCAGCAGCTTCCTTACCATCCTGTGCTTCAGTTTCCTCATAGGGGTGAGGAGAAATTGAGGAGGGAATAAATGAAGAGCCTTACCACAAGGACAGGTCTTGGGAAGGGTGATACAGGTCTTCTTCTCATTGCTTGAAAAAAGCTGCAATGAGCAACAGCATCCCTTACTCAATGGTCCCCTCATTCCAGCTGTCATGACAGTGCAGTGAACACAACCTGTGCTTGCACTGACGGAGAGAACAAGTCAGTCACTGAGCATGCACCTGCTGCCATGTGGATAGGCTGAGCAGGCCAGAATGCAAGCAAATGGTGAGCTGAGGAACATCATCAGTGCACAGACCCACACATACACAAATGAAGAAATCAGAAAACAACAGTGACAACAAATAAACAGATTTTAAAATTCAGTATTGCTTAGGGAGGACAGTCATCGAGTGTTCCAACAGCCATCTGAAGCCAATAGTCCTGGTTATTAAAAATCACAAAGTTGTACATATGTTCACCTCCTTTGTGAAAATCATGCTCATTCTCTCTCCAGGAAACAGGGCTGTCTGCAAAGCCTTGAACTGACAAGGTAATCCACGGAGCCAGCTTTGGTTCATCAAAGTAATGACTGAAAAAGACAGATCATCCTTAACAAAATGGGAGATGGAGGAATGTCCACACTTACTTTTTAAAAGTACATTCACTGTTGAAAACGAACTTTATCACTTGGTGGGGGGGAGGGATGTAGAGGGAGGAGTTGGGGAGGTATGGAGGGAAGCGATAGTAGGGGAAAAACAAAGGTGTGGCTAACAATGCTTGATAGGAAATGTACTCATTACCTTACTCATATAACTGTAACCCCTCCGTACAGTATCTTTACAATTTAAAAAAAAGCAAATTAAAAAAAAAGAATCTATTCAGGATGTTCTAATGATCTTAGAGTCTGGCTTTAACTTATACAAACTAGCAGGTGCAGAGTAAGTTCCTGATGCTATATTGTAAGTTCCATAAAGATCAACACACTACACACAAAACAAAAGTCACAGTTCTCCCCCTACTTCTGGAACATTGTTGAAGATTCAAAGAACCATGTTAGGGGTTCAGCTAAGGGTAGAACACTTGTCTAGTGTGTGCAAGGCCTGGACTTGATGCTCAGTGCCACAAAACAAACCAACAATGACAAAAAAACCCCAAACCACAAAACCCCACACAGTATATAAGGATGTTTCCTTCCAGTAAGAGTAATGTTTTTAGACTGATTTGTGGAATATCACAGAGTAATTCACCAAATTCATCAAAAACTGTCCTTTTTATTGTAGAAAACGAAAGTACTAAGCTAATAAATAGAAAAAAAAAAGATATTGGGTTCAAAAGAGAAAAACCCTCCCAGTCACAAGTGCCTCAAATTTGCAATACTAGCTACTCAGGAGGCTGAGTAGTTAGAGAAGTTTGAAGCCAGCCTGGGCAGAAAAGTTGACAAGCATTCATTCCAATGAGCAACCCAAAATTTGGGCTGGAGGAATGGTACAAGTGGTAAAGTGGCAAGCTGAAGAACATGAGTTCAAACCGCACTGGTGACTAAGACAAGGGTGAAGACTTTAATATGAAGGTATTTTAAAAGGACAGAGAAAACACTAAACAGGATAATTCTCTGTCCTCACATTAGATCCAACGCACACATTGTATTTATAGTTATATATGATCTCCCCACATGACAAAAAAAAAACAAACAAAAAACAAAAACCCTACCACTCTATTCAACACTTAGCATACTGTTAGTGCTTAGTGAGTCAAAGAACTCCAATGCTGGACAAATCTTAGGTATGTTTGGGCTAATCAACTCTCTTCTACCCTATTTCTGTCCACACCACTTCAGATTAAACATTTTGTACATCTCCAGTACTAAAAGTTAAATGTAATTCATCCCACAGAATTCATTTTTTGGGGGTTTTTTTTTTTTGAGTGATGTTCTAACTGATTGCATCAAAATGGCTCAGAGTGGAGAAGCAGGAGAAAGAGTAGCTTGTCTGCTCCACGCCTCTGCCTACGTTTTCATTAGAACAGGTGACTGACTCTAGCACATTTCTCGGCAAAGATGACTAAGCCAGATGAAACATAACATTTCTACACTAGATCCCAGGCCAAGAAAAGGGGCATGCCATATGCTCAGTAGGCCACTAGGGCACAAAAAAAAAAAAAATGTAAAAAAGGTGCTTACCACAGCCGTTCCAGCAGGACACAGATCTTCTCTGGAAGGATGAGGCCAGTGATTGTACACAAGCAAGCCCTGGCCACCACTGTGCTTGGCTGGGGACAGCAGTAGGTTGACACAAAATTATTAGGCTCGTTATCTCTATCATGGAGAAAAAGAGGAGATATTCAGAACTACTGTGGAATCACATCCTAAAGAGTACATGTCTAACAAAATAAAACAGCAGGGCACAGCCCTACCCAATTCCCAAGTGTAGATACCTACAGGTCTGCATTACAGAAGACTGCGCCCAGCCACTCAAAGAGCTCTTGGGCACCGCAGGATGACTCTGGCTCTCCTTTAAGCTCACTGCTCTGCAGCACCGGGCACTGCAAATCATTCACTGTGCTCAGCTCTACTTTAGGTTGATGCTTCTGAATTTGGTATTTGGAAAAGTATGACATCATTGTTGAATCTGTTGCACCTTCAAACACACACATATAAGACTGTGTGAAAATCACAAACAACTCTAGTGAATCCCCGGAAGTAACTCGGTCCCTTTCAGCACCATGGGAGACTGGTAGAATTAATATGGCAGATGTGCAAAATTGGGTTCAACTTAGATCATTAAATCTGCTAACTGTTGCTCATACCACACTTCTGTAAACACTTAGATTCTTTCATGCTTTTCCAGGAAATACACAGTGCTTTCAGACCTGCTCTAAATTACTTTCATTTGCTCCAAGAAGAACATTTCAACTCTATACACAAAACCCAAGTGTATGAATATTACTGAACTACAGTATAATCTATACAGTAAACCTAAGAGACAACCAATGACAACTTCCCACAGAAAAATAGGGAATGTAGGCAACAACCTTGGGAGGTAAGAATAGGGCCCTCCACAGGACAGGGCAGCCTGTTTACTGCCCAGTGTCACAACATCTGTCTCCTCCCACACAGAAGCAGGCTCTCTGCCCAGTAGAAAGTGTCGGGTTTTTTATTCCATTCCAAGATGGAACCTTCTGTGTGTACCAGCATCATTGGCCAATTTTGTGTCATTCTGGGACCTGGGACTTGGTGAACTGCTGCAAATGCCAACTCTCACAAGATGGTGAATTTCAGGTGTCATGTTAAATGGAGAGCAGGTAAAGCACTGCCTTTGGGTGTGTGTGAGGGTATCCACACACTGCCATGGCAGTGGAGGTTCTGTCCTCAATGGAGGTGTGCATCATCTGGCTGGCTGGGTGCCCACGACAGGCAAAGGGGCAGTGGAAAGGGAAATTTGATCTTTCTTCTGGAGATGGTACATTCTGGAGTACACACATCCCTTCTACAATTTATTAAGAAAGGTAGAAAAATCATGAATATAACCTTGATATAACTCCAGACATACCTCCAACTTCTCTGTCCTTGGGACTCCAGGACTTGTACACATGGTCCCCTAAGTTCTCAGACCTGTGGCCTTGGATTGAGAAAGACCAACAGCTTGTCTTGAGGCTTCCAGACTTAGGTGGGCATTTCTAGTCTCTAGCTTACAGATGGCTATGACAGACTTCTTGTCCTCCAAATGGTATAAACAGTTTCTTCTATTGAGTTGGTCAGTGTCTGCCTGTCTCTCTTTCCTAGGATGACTGCTATACATTATGGTGACTGTTCCTACTGGTTGGAATGAAATCCTTTGGCTTGGACCAGAGCTCCTACTTTATTAGCTGGCAGACTGAATCTCAGACTCCACACAGTTCCTGAAAAGCTCTGAAAGCAGTCAGAAGGCTTAGGAGCAGAAAGCCACATAAACCCCACTGTAGAGAAGACTTAAAGTGATTAAGAGTTCTGTAAATCTCTCCCCCTTCTGCCTACCACATGTTTCACTAAGTGACACGGATCTTCACAGAACTAGGATCTAGGGAAGCAACCTTGCTTGGCTGTGACCAGAAGTCTCCTACAAGGAGCAGAAGGACATGAACATTTCCAAAATGGACCCACATGCTTCCCCAACCTCTCAAACAAGAGCACTACACCATCATACTTCCTCATGACTGGATCATATATAGTTGGCCAAAGACATAATGCTTGAATAGGAGCAATGTAAGCAGATTAACAAACTTAATAAACAAACCTAAGGAACATCAAAATTTGAACTAAATGTAGTGTTGTAGTCAACTACAAGTTACAAGTTTGAAATGACACTTAATGGTATACCTCTGTTAGTGCCACTATCAATGAGCAAACAGACCACATAGGTCTGTATAACTAGGGGTCTTGTGAAACACTGTAGCCAAGACTACAAGGTGAGCTGGAGGAAAGGAAGTGGAGAAACAGGGGAAAGCTGCCTTCTTTGAACTCAGTTTTAGGATGTCTGAATCTACAGAGAATCCACGAAGATTTAGGCAAATGTTTTCAGACCTAGCTTATTCTGAACTATGGTTCTCAGACCAAGACAAGCAGCTTTTTAAATAATGTTTGAACAAAATACCCTTCACTAAAGTGATGAATAAAAAAAATCAACATTTAGTTATTAGCTTTCAAAATCATCATTGTATTAAGAGCCTGGAGCCATAGGCTCATGCCTGTAAGTTTAGCATTCAGAATGCTAAGATTTGAGGATTGAGGTTTCAAACCCATCCAGACAGAAAAGTCCATGAGACTCTTATCTCCAGCTAACTAACAATAAGCCAGAAATGGAGCTGTGACTCACATGGCAGAGCAACAATCTTGAGCAAAAAACCATTCACTGAGATCATGGGGCCCTGAGTTTAATGAAACATACACACACACAAAAATCAATATACCATTACAAATATTTATTCTTCATACCTGTAGAATGCCAAGCCAAAAGGAAATCAAACTTCAAAGGCTTCTTTTCTTTGAAAGACCAACATATTCTTTTATACTTCTTAGACTCCAACATAAAGGATGAATCCATCAAATCAATGGAAACAACTTAAAAGTAGAAAAAAGAACAGATATTTCATTCTGATATAGACAGTGTGCACATTTTTACAAAGTTTATTATATTGAAAATGATGTTGCTCTTCTTCACTCCTTCAGTTCATCAAGTCTAAACTATCTTTGCAGTGGGTATTTCTAGAATAAGAGCTGTCAACAACAAGTATTATCTTTCTCAGATCAACAAACTAGAACAGGAGTCCCCTGAATCCACTGTGGATGCAGCAGCTTTAACCACTGCTATCCACACTGGATAGTCAGCTGACCAAAAGACTTAGGAAAACTAAAGGAATTCTTTATTAAGAATCAATTGTGAAGCCAGGTTGTCAGTGGCTCACAATCTAGCTACTCAGGAGGCTGGGGATTTGAAAATCAGTTTAAAGCTGGCTCAGGTAGGAAAGTCTGTGAGCTTCTTATCTCCAATAATCTACCAAAAAATGTTAAAGTGGAGCTTTGGCTCAAGTGATACAGCACCAGCCTTGAGAAAAAACGCTAAACACAGTGCCTATGTCCTTAATTCAAATTACTGAGGTTTGAAAAAAAAACACAAAACATAGCAGCTGAAGCTGAAGAGAAGTCGATTCCACAGCAGTCTCCTTTTCCCTCTGTGAAGTTCAATCTGCAGCAGCTCAAGTCCCACTTTCACTGACAAGAAACACAAGCCATGTTTTCTGAACCAAGGTCAGAGGGGTCCTAACCCCGACTGTCCTGCTATAGGAGGATGACAGCTTGGGAGCATTGCCAGACTGGGGAGAATACTCACTGAACTTCCTAATTTTTCTGCCAGAATACTGAGAGGGATGACCTTGAAGTCCAGTTTCTTCATAAGTGTCTTTATCCAGGGATAAAATCAACTTCCCTATAAAACAAAGAGTAGTTCCCATAAGAAAGATGCAAAAACTTCCCTGCTACCAGCATAACTATCCAAATATCAAGACCTGATTTATAACACACAGCCACATGCATATGCAGGTACATACATAGGTATTAACTTGTGTATATTCATCAGTACTATTAACAGCAGTATATAAATTATCTAAATTTCTATTAAGAAATTATTTTTTAAAAATCATAACATACATACTATTTCAAATATTTCCTTGTGCTTTGGAAGTACTGGGGTTTGATTACAAACCTTGCATCACCTGAATCATAGAGCAGACTCTTTTTTGCTTTAGTTTTCTTTCCTTCTTTCTTTTTTATGGTGAGTCTTGAGGCTTGAACTCAGGGCCTGGGCACTGTCCCTGAGCTATTTCATTCAAGGCTATCCCTTACCACTATGAGCCACAATGCTACTTCTGGTTTTCTGGTGATTAATTGGAGGTAAGAGTCTCCTGCAGCCAGGTGCCACTGTCTCATGGCTGTAATCCTAGCTAGCAGGAGGCTGAGATCTGAGGATCACAGTTCAAAGCCAGCCTGGGCAGGAAAGTTTGAGACTCTTATCACCAGAAAACAGGAAGTGGTGCTGTGACTCAAGTGGTAAAGAGCTCACCTTGAGTTCAAGAGCTCAGGGACAGCACCCAGGCCGAGTTCAAGCCCCATGACTGACCAAAACAAAACAAAAGTCTCATGGACTTTCCTGCCCATGCTGCCTTTGAGCCACAATCCTCAGATCTCAGCCTCTTGAGTAGCTAAGGTTACAGGCATAAGCCACCAGCGCCAGGCTACTTTAGTTGTGTTTCAGATAACGTTTTTCTTTTTCCTCAGCCTTAGACAATGATCCTTCTATATTTGAATCCTGGGTAGCAGAGATTATAGACAAGAACCACATCAGTTTGTTGAGATGAGAATCTCACTAACTTCTATGCACGCTGGACTCAAATCTTAAACCTCTCCATCTCTACCTCTTGGGTAGCTGAGATTATAGGTATGCTTTAACATAATTGGGCCTCAAATATCTTTAAAAAATTAAAATCTGTAAGTTACAATCATGTGTGGTGGTACATTTCTATTAGTCCAGCACTACAGAAGCTAAACCACAAGATCTGGAGTTCAAAGCAGTTGGAAGTAAGTTCCAGGCCTTCCTGGGCTACATGGTAACTTCCTGCTCAAAAACAAACAAATTTAAAAAATTGTGAGAACTCTATGCACTGATATGGGAAGACAATTATTATGTGTAACTCCAGGAAAAAGAACGTTGAATACCAATGCAGCACAATGTAATTCAAATATAAAAACATTTACATATGTTGCTAAAATCATAGAACATGCTGGAAGAATTAACATCAAACTGTTCATTCTAAGAATGGAAGTAAGTCAGGATGAACTAGAGACCATCACTTTACTCTGTATAGATCTACATGGTTGGATCTTTTTAAAAAAAGTTATTTTTTATTTTTCTTAGGTAATTCTACAAAGGAGTTATCATTCAACAAATCAGCTCGTAGGTACAATGCATCTTGAACAATAGCACCACTTTCATCAATCTCTCCTTCCCCATCAACACAATGCCTCACTTCAGTTTTATTACTTTCATATGATATGCATTGAATACTATATGTACATTCTTCCCCCTCCCTCTGACCTTCTTACATACAACTTTCAAGTACCAGTTTCCTGGTGCCCATTTGTTTGTATTCCTTTTTCTAAAGAATTACAATGTTGGAATGAATTCTCCCCTGAAAATATCACATTTCAGCTAATAAATTTGTATATAATTGCATATAACTCCACTTATGTGTATCTGTAACATTTCTAAATTAGTCCTAGCTTCCACATAGGAGATAAAACATACATACTTTGTCTCCCTTAGCCTGACATACTTCTTTTCCAGATCTACTCATTTCTCTACAAGTTATATAATATTATTCTTCCTAATAGATGAGTAAAATTCCACTGGGTATATAGACCACATTTTCTGGATCCGTTCATCCAACAATGAACATGACTGTGCAAGTGGCTTTACTATATTCTCATTTGTAATCTTTTGGATGAATTCCCAAGTGGTATTGTTGGTATTACAGAATGCATTTTTTTTTGGGGGGGGGTCCAGTCATGGGGCCTGAACTCTGGGCCTGGGCACTGTCCCTCAGCTCTTCAGCTCAAGGCTAGCACTCTACCATTTGAGCCACAGTGCCACTTCCAGCTTTTTTCTTTTTGCTTATATGGTGCTGAGGAATCGAACTCAGGGCCTCAGGCATGTAAGGCAAGTGTTCTACCACTGAGCCACCTTCCCAGCCCCAGAATGCATTTTTTCTAACGAAAGGGAAAAAGAAAACAATTACCATTGGGTAGCAGACCAACAGTATTATCTTCATCAATATTTGTATTGAATGTGAGTGCATAGCAGGAACCTGTAAGAGAAAGTTAGGAGGAACAATTAAAACACAGAAGACATCACAAGTTAATGCATTAATTTCATGAGGACAGATCTTCCAGCCACCACACCCCACGTAACTCAGTGACCAACACACACAAGGGAAGCTGGAAGACATGGAAGGCTGAGCTCCAGCCAGCTCACTCCCCTCCATCAAGGTTTCTATCCTCAGGCAGAAAAATAATGTCGAATAGAACTTAGTTTCTACAGGTGTTAGCAGAAAGGCACAAAGAAAAAGAGCAGGTAAGCAAATACTCCTCAGAGACAGTTCTAGGTTAATAATCAAAAGCTACTCAGTCTTTCTTCATGGGTTACACAGGGATCAGGGGCCTACCTCTTAGATGTAGGATATGAGATATTGAAAAGTGCCTGCCACAAAGTGTCCATGCCATTAACAAAATAACCTCAGACTTTACAGGAGAAAATGCTGATGTGAACAGATGATATGTCCAGCTTCACACGTAGCCCCAGAGAGACCAGTGATATAGTAACCAGACTTCACAAGCAGACAGCTACAACAGTGTAGGTCCATATATACATAGTGATTAGCTTCTGAAAGGAGGGTGGAATCCCTACAGACACTCTGAAATACAACTTCAAACAATGAATCCAAGAGAATAACTGAAACAAACTAGTCATTACAGCAGATAAAACTGGGACTGAGGGAAACAGAACGAGGTCAGAGACACAAAATCTAAGAAGATTCTCAGGACAGTGTAATCAGAAACTACCACTTAACAGGACTGCAGCAAATGGTAGGACAGGGAAAATGAAGGACAGAGTAATACACACAGGACTACAGATCCTTTCCAAACAAGAGTGTTAGCACGGGTGGTTCATAACTATTATCTACCTACTCAAAAGACTGCTATCACAGTGCAAAGCCAGTCCAGGCAAGAAAGTTCATGCAACTGTTATCTCCATTTAAACACCAAACATGGAGGTTTGGCTCAAATGGTAGAATGCTAGTGGAAGAAGCTGAGAAACAGTACCCAGTGGGTGAGTTCAAGCCCTGGTACAGGCACAAAAAACAAACAGAACAATAAAAAAATAGTCCAAATAACATGCTACAATCTCCTTGTAGTTCCTCATCTTGCCTTGTTCATTATGTGGGATCATGGTTTGTTTTTTACCTTTCCTTACAAAAGTGTTGATGAATTCATGTGTAATTAATTCATGAAGAGGTAAATTCTTCACAGAGTAATAGGGTCCAGTTTCCATGACCAGGCTTTTCAGTTCTTTTGGTAATATCCCACATTCAGGAATGAGAAATGACACCTATTGCAATACATAATACATTTTCATGAAGATTAACCTCAGATTTTTGGAAGTGAGTGTTGCTATTTCTTCACCAGGTTTGCTGGCAACAAACCTCTGAAGTTAACAGACCAAACAGAGAAATTTAACAACTCAAGTTGTTCACTTCTGCATGGCAACCTAATAGTACAATAAAGAAATTAAGCAGAAACTTTTTTTTTTTTTGGTCGGTCGTGGGGCTTGAACCCTAGGCCTGGGCGCTGTCCCTCGGCTCTTCACCTCAAGGAGAGTGCTCTACCACTTGAGCCACAGTGCCACTTCCGGTTTAAGCAAAAACATTTTAATTGGAAAATCTTGCTTGCATTTTACCTTTTGCATATGAGCAATATACTTCAGGTTCTGTTTCTCTTGCTACTTTGTTTTCAAAGAAATACAATTGGAGAGGCTATTTATTGCCAGGTTTACCTTGGAATCCAAGGAGCACAGGGAATTTAGGAACTCTCAATTATTAATAGGCTCCTCAGAGAGCAAAGGGCTCCTGCAGGGTTCAATGTTCTAGAGATGCCACAGGTCAGCCCAGACCTTTTAGGGCAAAACAACTTGACCTACTGACTGAGATGAGCTTTACAAGCAAACCAACAACGTGAAATACCAGCAGATTCCAGCTGTTGCTCAAGTGCTCACACTGAGGCCCAGCCTTAAAGCTCCAACACCAATACCAATGTGTGTCTGAGGGAGTGGGTTACTTAATGTCTGGGACATATCAAACTAACCAATTTCAAATATAAAATGCTTAAACTCGTGCCATCTTAGTTAGGTTTGGGGAATTTCTCGTTTATCAAATCGGCTCCCATCAACGGGTTAGAAAAGCAGGTGGCGTGTTGGGCCAGGGTAGCTCGAGGGGCTGGGAAGAGGCGGGGGTAGACCAGCTGGCCACAGAGGGAATCGGGCAGCGGGAGAACACTGAGGCGGGAAGGAGGCGCGGGGCACCAGCCGATTTCATGTAGACAGCTGCACCTCAGGACGGGCACAGCTGCCTAACTGCCCCGTCCCCGCCCAGCCCCTCACAGGGCTCTCATTCCGGCTGCTGGCTGCTGGGACCCGTTAGAAGTTAAGCCGCGCTTTGGACAGCAAGAACAAGACTCTGCGGGGTCCTACCCTCAAAGGAGGCCTGCCAGCAGGGCATCCTGGGAGTTGTAGTCCTGCACTGCAGAGCTCTAAGGGGCCAGAGCACCACGGAGACTACAATTCCCAGTATGCCTAGAGATGGCCCGCCCCTCCCCGACTGGGAAACTACCGCCACGCGAAGCGTCCTGAGACCTTTCCCCAAACCCTGTCGCGGCCTTAGCGTGCACGGAGGACACCGGCTCACCCGGTAATTGTGATAGTGCGCCTCCACTAGATGCCGGTGGCGTGACTTGTGGTGGCTGAAGTTGGATCTCTCGCAGACTAGCAAGTGCCGGGGCGCCTCTCGGAGCCTTCGCAGCGTGGCCATAGTCTCCACCACTCCTGGACTGCGCTCAGCGCCAGCTCTCGGGCTCCTCCCTTTTTCCTCTTCCCGCCCCTTAGCCACGCCCATGGGTCCCTAAGCCAATCAGTCACCGGCACCGCCTTTCTGCCTCTCCCACCCAGGCCACCCTGACCTTGCGCAGTGCTGCCTCCGGACGACTGTCCTGGGCCCCTGCAAAGTTGAATGCTGGGGAAGTATCCGTGCGGGAAGCTCCCTGTTAGTGTCTGCAGCCCTAAATCCACTCGTGGAGAAGCACCTTTCTGGCTCGCGCGAAGCTAGTAGGAAACTTTTTAAAGCATTTCCTTTCTTCCCTCCATCCCTTAGTTCTTCTGAACCCCTTGGCTGGTGGCTGAGCTGCCCCTACTTGCTTGGGCTGGACCTCCACCCCCCACCCCCGCTCCCACCGGTCCCCGTTCCCTCGGATCGTAGAAAGAAGGACAACATTTTTGGAAAGTCCCAACACAACCAGAAATTCAGCCACCAAGTTCAGTGGTCGCAACGCAGTTTGGGTGTACTTTTCTGACTCTACATGGTCTGTTTTTGCAAGATTTACTTGTTATCCTAAAAGTCAAGACGTTTGAGAAGGAAAATAATACATGAGTTTTGAATTTTAGTCCTGAAATAAAACTCTTTTGGATCTACTTTAAAAAAAAATTTATCGCATCCTGGCTCAAGCCTGTAGTAAGCCTAGCTACTTAAGAGGCTGAGATCTGAAGATGGCAGTTGAAAGCCAGGCCAAGCAGGAAAGTCCATGAGACCCTTATCTCCACCGAACCCCCAGGAAATTCGAAGTTGCGCTTGGCTCAAAGTAATAGAGCACTGGCCTTGAGCTGAACAGGTCAGGGACAGAGCGCAGATGTAGAGTTCAAGCCCCTCGACTGAAAAGAATAAATTTATTGTAATGATAAATTGTTCTTCCATTTTTTAAATAACCCCCAAGTATTACAACACTATATGGTTCTTAAACCAGATAGTTCATAGCTCCAATTTTGCACAGCGAAGTTGCAATTAGAATACTAATGAAACCTCATCCCAAGCTTGCAGCATTGTACAAGAGTAGGAGTAATGAAGCTAAGTAATTTACAAGGCAAATAATAAAAATATTGAAAACTGAAACCATTTTTTAAAATATATGTAATTATATTTTTATTATTTAGATCTTTTACAGAAGGGTTACCATTGTACAAGTCAGGTAATGAGTACATTTCTTTTCTGGACAATGTTACCCTTCCTTCACTTCACCCAGGTTCCTGGTATTCCCCTCCAGTCCTGCACACAATTTACATAACTCCTTTTCTCACATAGTGTATACTGAACAACATGATTGTGTTTCTTCATCCTTCCTCCATTTCTGTGCCTACCTTTGTCCTCACTAAAAAGAAAAACAAAACATACCATCAACAACAATTTAAAAAAAAAACCACCATATTGTTTTTTGTGTTGTGAGTGTTGTTGTGGTGGTCCTGGGGCTGGAACTTGGGCCTGGGTGCTATCTCTGAGTTCCTTTATGCTCAAGGCTATGGCTCTACCATGTGAGCCACAACACCACTTCACAAAACCCATGTTTTCATTTCTTGAATTTCACTTGGATAAATAGTAATTTAAATGTTCAGAAGAGTTACTCCATTGAGTTCTTCTCCTGAAAGTATCTTCCTTTACTCAGACTGTGTGTGAATACCTGAAGTCCTGCATAGGTTATCATGTCCAGTTATATTTTATATGTACCTTCCACATGTGAAAGAAAATATGAGCTGTGTTTCTTTCTGAGCTTGGCTTACCTCACTTAACATGACTTATTCTAGGTCTATCCATTTCCCTGCAAGTGACATACTCTTATTCTAAAGGATGAATAAAATTCCACTTTGTATATGAACCACTCTTTTTTGATCTACTCATCTATGAAATGAGTCATCTTTTCAGAAGATAATTATGGGAAGCAATGGCTGTGATATTAAAAAAAAAAAAAAGGTGTGGTGGGGGGAAGCACAAAAACTCAAAGCAGGTTAGATGAGGGAAAAGGAAGCATGGGAAATTGCAGCCAGGAATCAGAGACAAGCACTGAATCAATGAGTAACTCTATTAGAAACACACAGGCACTATTTTCTTTGCTTAAAGCATTATGTCCTCTCATATGATACATTAGTAGTAAAGAGAGGAGAAAATAAAGGAAAAGGAAGCCTGGTGCCTGTGGCTCATGCCAGTTAACCTAGCTACTCAGGAGGCTGAGGTCTCTGGATTGTGGTTCAAACCCAGCCTGGGCAAGAAATTCCGTTAACCACCAACAAACCAGACATGGCGCTATGACCAAAGTGGTAGAATGCTCACCGCCAGCTGAAAAGCTCAGGGACAGCACCCAGGACCAGAGTTCAAGCCCCACAGAAAAAGGAAAAAGATTAGCTCTCTCCCTCTGAATGTGAACTTGCCCCCCCTTGCCAAAAGTAGTGTGCTCTGGAAACTAAGGATATATGAAAGAAAGACACAAACTGGGGGTAAAACACTCAGAAATAGGACTTCACTGGATATATGTTTTAAACAATTATCTAAAGATGGACACCTGTCTTGAAAGGAAGGTGTGGCAGAATCCATCCTGTTTGAAGGGGAATGAGCAGGCTAACCTTGACAACTCTAGCCCCAATTGATGAAACAGTAACAGCAAGGATGTACCAGGTGTGGGAAACAAGGAAAATTATTCATCCTCCAGTGAACCTAAGAAATCCCCCACCCTACTATGAATAGATGTGATGTTAACTACTCATCGAACCTGCTATTCAATGTGCCACACCCACATTTGGATGAGTACTCTCTATCTTTCCTTCACTTTGCTTTACCAGGAAACTTTCTTGATCTTTACCTTGTGTCCTCAAGTAGTTTTTAAAAACAATATCAAGAACTCAGCACCCAATGGCCAGGCAGAGGCCTTTTCCCTTTTAGAGACCTTCTCCCAGAAGTGGTGCCTGTTAGCAATCTGGCATCAAAATGCACAGAAAGACAAACACTGCCAGGTGCTGATGGCTCATGCCTGTAGTCCTAGCAACTCCAGAAGCTGAGATCTGAGGATTGCCATTCAAAGATCTCCAGAGAACCATCAAAAAGTCTGCTCTGCTGGCAGGCTTTCCTCTCCTGCCGTGCCTCCACTCCTATTCCTCTCTTTCCTCCACACTAACTGTAAAGGGGTGTCCTCTGAACTCCCCTCTCCTCTGGAGTCCAGATGTCACCCGGACTCCTCTCTCCTCCCTCAGGACTGTTTTCCCCCTAACCTCCCCTGTGGCCTCGGAGCCTGCAGCCTGTATATACCCAGATAGCTGTGCCCCTCCCCCACTAATGGTTTCAAACCGCCATTCTTGCTCCTCCCCCAAGCTGCCCCCTCTCCAATCCCAATAGGCAGCTAGCCATGTGGAGCTCCACGCCCCACGCCCTCCAGTACCATGGCCCGCCCCTCCAGTGGCGCCCAGTGGGGCGGTGACTTCAGCCTCTCAATGCCCTGATCTGTCTGATGGCCTGGTCTGTGGAGCAGTGAGGCTCACCTCTTATGCCCTGCCCCCTCCAGGCGGCCTGACCATGGGGCCGTGCAGACTCTTGGGCCCCACAAGTTATTTCAGTATCAATGGGTACCAAAGTGCAGCTAGAGAGGGAAAAGTAGTTCCAATGCTCATAGTGTAAGGTCTGCCCCGGGCCATGCAGGTCCTGTGCAGACACCTCCCTACCTCTTGGCTAAGTTTCCACCAACTATCTGTTACTTAGGTAACTGGCACACCTGGAAGCAGTCACCTCCCTCTCCAGCTGGGTCACATCCTGGGCCACCTCTGGTCACAAGCCTCCCAGCTGACTTCTCAGGCCCTGAGATCTCATCTGGATCCAATGTGGCCACACCTTTCCCCCACCTGGCCCCACCTCTTCCTGTCACTGGCTTAGATAAGTCCTGGCCTAGGGGTGGGGGAGAGGGTGGAGATTGGGGGTGGGGGGGCGTGGTCGTTCCTTTTAGCCATGCCTCTCCACCCTGCAAGGCGGGGACAGCAGTTTGGTAAATAAAATACTTTTCCTGCCTGAATAGTGCCTGGTGTTCTCTTCATCAACTACCTAATGAAACCTATCTACTTAATATACCTTACACATAGCACAGGAGGGTAACTATTGTCTATAACAATTATGCTTTCAAATTACTCGATGAGAAAAGTGTGAGGATCCTCAAGGAGCAATAATAACATATGAGGAGATGGGAATGTTAATCACCCTATTTTATCATTATTAAATGTGTATATGTATCAAATTGTAATCATGTATCCCATGAATTAATACAAGTATGTGTTAATTAAAAATAAAAATTTTAAGCTGGGTACTTGTGACTAATGCTTATAATCCTAGCTACTCAGGAGACTGAGAACGGAGTGAGAATCAGGGTTCAAAGCTAGCCTGAATTGGAAAGTCCTTGAGACTCTTGTTTCCAATTCCCTACCAATGGCTCAAGTGGTAGAGTGTTAGCCTTGAGCATAAAGGTTCAGAGACAATACCCTGGCCCTTAGTTCAAGCTTCAGGACCAGCACAAAAATCAATCAGTCAATCCAATGTCAACATCACCTCAGACCTTGAAGACATAACTGATCCATATGGATTTGCTGAAAACAAATGTAGTAACAAAATTAATTTTTCTAAAACCATAGCCAATAGATTTTTGGTGAAATTGAGATGCCTTTGATCATGTGTGTATTTAGTAAATATAAAGTGACAAAATTTTTCCACATCAAATTTTTGGGCCTTAAATGCTATAAAATTAGCAATAAGAGACAGTCAACTATCTAGAGGATTAAGACATTCTTTAAATTAATGCCTGGGCTAAGGTAAAATTGGAGACACTTATAGTACCTACAGTATACATATTGCAAAAATCTCATATCCAGCCATGTGTTGGTGGCTCAAGCCTATAATCATAGCTACTCAGGGGGCTGAGATCTGAGGATCGTGGTTCAAAGCCAGCCAGGGCAGGAAAGTCCATGGGACTCTTATCTACAATAAACCACCAGAA